CGCTGCAAAACTAAAGTTGCATTAAAGTCACCAGCTGCGATGTCTTTGGAGCCCAACGACAAAAAATCAAAAACGAAGGTTTTAGGTCTTCCAGCAAAGTCATCTTTCTTGGTGAGTAGTGCTTCACGAGCGCGTGCTATGGAACTGACGACAACAACACGCTGTAAGCCAGGCAGTTCCAGGGTAAACACGTCACCATATTTCTTTGCCAGGTTGGAGAGAATRACGTGCGTCCTTTTTAATACATCATTGCCTGACGATRTAAGCGTRAGCAAGTTGCCAACAATGGGCAGCGGTAAAGGACCAGSTGGCATGCCCTTTGGCTTGAACAGGTAATTTATGACTATGTAAGTCAAGGCCAAAATGGCCAGAGCTGCTGCTATTCCTTGCAACATTCTGAAAGCAAAAGGRAACGGACAGCAATTAATGTTGAAAATACGATATGAATACCTAACCTACTACTATCGACAGTGATATTCCCTCCAAGAAGGGCGATTCAAACATGAAATGAAAGGGCTCCCGAAAATGATGATTAATTTTCTGTTGGTTATAAGCAAATACATGCATGTCGTTTTTAGTCTTTTTAAAACGTTACTGACGATTGCATGGCATATTTTTTCTTATTTTAGAGATTCGGGATTGAGAGTAATGATATAACTCATGAATGTCGAGGATTATACGATTGATTTCGTAAACTGGCACCATTTCACGTGTAATGTATTATATAAAATCACTGATCTAGTACTTGTAGTTAAGGTTTCTAAGCCATAACTTTATCAAGATGTGTMWTCTTTACTTTGACATGACGTCATCAGTCGGAAAAAAATTCTAAAATCACAGAAACACAACATTGGAGTACAGAAATCTCTTGAAGAGCATGATAGAAGTTCTCTCTGAATGTTTAAACTTTTTTTGCTGTTTATTCGTTGAGTTATTAACGTTCAAAAATGTGTCACGCAATACTGTCATGCGACTTGATACACSCCAAAAATACTCGAAAAGCCTATTAATCTTTGAACAAATATAGTCTCAGCATCAAATTAAATGTTTACAATGATATTGTTATAAAGGTAAAGCAAAATCATTRGTTTTGAGCTCAATTCAATACTCGGAGTTACGGTCCGCCATCTTTATGCACCTATCAATGTTTTGCCCCAGTTTGGGGGGAGGGGGGAAGGGGGGGCAAACCCCGGGGAATTTGACATTTTCGATTTTTAAAATTCAAAATCCCTACCCCTGGTCCATTGGTATCGATCAAATTCCCGGCCCTCGGGACAAAAAAAAAGTGTTTCATACTAGATCATTGCAGGTTATTGACCTATGGACAAAGGGACAAATAATGACTGAATGCTAAATTCATTTTTATAACAAGTTTTATCATTTAATCACATCGCATTTTTCATGATAAATCAAGTGAAAGTAGTTCGATATTTAACTTCTCCGCACAGGCGATCGCGAGGTGCGTGAAACGCTCCAATTGACTTCTGGATAAAACTAGTTTCCAGGATTACTCGGCATTCAAAATGGCGCCCAATAGTTGCAAATTTTGTGTGTCACATTTCCCMTTCCCAGAGATATTTTAAAAATCAAAATACTCGGGGTTCGCCCCCCTTCCCTGGGGGAAAACATTGATAGGTCATTATGCGCCTAACGAGGGCACTGTCATGGCTGTCCCATACATTTCTTTGTAAAATAATACCTTATTCAAACGCTTGTATTTTTGCTACAAAATCACAGTTTGGATTCAAATTTTGTTGGGAGTTATATGATTGTTTGGTCCTTGGATTTGAATCTTGAAACAAAGCTTTTCGTAGGTATTACGTGACCAGTCGAAAACGCATTGAGCCGTGATAATCCCATACTATTCTTACCAATTTTCTATATCTCGTATTTCTCAGGTAAAAAATCATTATTTTGGCTCGAAATTTCGTAATGATCGTTTGATTAAGATGTTCTTTCGAGGACAATAATAAAAGTTTGCTAATTTTGCCACTAAATAGCTTTTTTACAATATCACGTGATCAGTGAAAGTCAGTCGGTTGTTTTGATTCTCAACAGTCTCACACGATATACTCACTGTACAACCGGGCATTTCGATCTGATGCATCACGACTCTACGGGGGGTGTGATTCCATATAGTATATGGACAACGTGTCTATGAGATTCGCCAGCGTACGGCGAAAGGTTAAATAGGACTCATATATGCTTCAGATGCTTATACTCAATCTCAATGCCGATTTTGCTACTGTTATTACTGTAKAATTATAAGAGATGAACAGCTTACTGCTTACCTGTAGATAATAAAATCAGTGCTATAACAGGCTTTGGAAGAACTAATCGATTCAAAGAGATGCAATCAAAGCAGCTTATTCGATCAGCACCATTGAAGATACACAGCTATCCCATGTTTAGCATAACTAGACGCTATTAGAGCGTGARCTCGGGCAACCSATTTTGGATAATTTAGAATGGCAGGATATTACATGGGTGCAAGGATATGCGAACAAGTGAAACATTTGCAAACACGATAAGACAAAATTCATATCTCTAAGCGGCCTTGTAATATTCTATGTTTAACATGATTATATATTTTTTTCGTCTAATATTTAGTGAAAGCAAGAATGCGTTACTTTCAATATTTTTTTATTAATGTGCAGTTGAAAAGTCTAATCGTTTATTCACGCTCCGCGACATTCTTTTCTTAAGGCTTGGCGCTACTACGTCAAAACACTAGAAATATCGAGCCAGGAGTAATATCCTGTCTTTCTCAATTTTCCAAAACAACTAGACCGACTCCACGCTTGAAGAACGCCTAGTTTATTCAACATATTCAAAATTCCGTGAGATCTWAATAAATTTATCTTGAAAGGTCGTGTAAACAACTATCCCATGTCTAGCATAACAGCCTCACAAGCAACCTTGGTTATCCCGRAGACGGAGCACATGGCACGCATGGGATACCTCACGAAACTAACTTTACATTTTAACTTCGTCTATAGTCAAGAAATGGTACATAGAATCAAGTCTTTTTTAATGGACTGGCCTTTRTATTGCAAAATAACCAGGGTGTGTCTCGTAATTCTTTCTGCTGTGAGTCATGACTTTATTTGACTATGGTATTTAACTGTAGTCCGTCCGCGAAGTTCTACAAAATGTACVTTGTCCCAATTTGATTCGGCGCGTCGATAACATGACGTCATACAAATCAGGTAAAAGCCAGACATTGGAACAGTAACGATTATTTTATTACCAACATCATGAAAAATGAACATTGAACAGTCGAATAACTAGTAACAACAATAATAATAATTTTATTTAAAGAGGGCAGCACTAAATAGTGTTACAACACTAATAAAGTTGTGGCCCTCGACTAAATTAAAACAAAAAACAAAAAAAACATACAAACAAATATAAGATATAGATAAAGATACAATTACAAAGAATTCAAAAGTATAAATCTAAAAATGATATTCCCAACCTACCCACTCAATCAAAATGCTATACTAAAATAAATGGATATCAAAAAAAAATTTAAAATATATTTAAGGAATATATAAAATGAGGGATACGATCTCGTAAGTGGACAGTTGTAACTAAAGACACTTCCGTTTCCTAACTGTATGTGTCAGCTTATTTATGGGGGATTCCACTGTCCGTTTCATAATTACAAGAATTAATTTCAAGAAAAAGAAAAAAAAATGATGACTTACAAACTACTGTTAGATATTGYTCGGTTTTACATGACGTCACAAAGGTATGCAAATTTCAAATCGCCATCTTGGATGATAACCAAATCCAATTGAACATGGCAGACGTTGCCGTATAGGCTTAGACATGGCCTTTCTTTGGACTGTTACTGAGCCACGAAGCTTCAAGGACCAAATTCATGATATTCAAAATCCTCCTTTTTAAACTCTGATGTTTTAATGGAGCTCATATCTCGAAACTCTGATAAATGGTCATAAATGGTTGAAATACTCGCCGAMAAAGGTACAACATTCCTGACATTCGTGTCAGCATGTCGACCATTTTGTTTTACCTTCGGTTATCATCCGAAATGGCTTCACTGTTAACTCGTGAGGTCACGCTTTTTTCTCATGTGCTTGAAACCTAAGAACAGAATTGCCCATAATTTTATAAAACGACTTTCTACATTGTMACTTTGTGACAGGTTGGAATTTCAATTCACATGTCTTTAACTCATTGCTTCTTATTAATTGAAAACCAATCTAATTTAGTTTTTATAAAGCTATGCGACCAATCAGCATTGCCTCACTTCTACGTTTTTCCTCTTGATCAGGTAATCGATATCCYGAATGTTTTAAAGCCAATTTGATGTTTACGGACAGATCCGAAGGGATGGACAGGGAGGACATTGAACCCAATTGTTAAAGGGACACTGTCAATGGATGACATGCGCAGTAACAGTCTCACCTCTAAACGGACTTTGAAAGTATAACCTTCGAGGTAAATCATTTTGTGGTGCTTTTGACACAATTTGGAATATTCTAGATCTGCTTACGTTTACGATCTGATTTATGTCGCGCCAACTTGAAAACACTAGCCTAGTGTTTTCAAGTTTACTCGCGCATGTCATCCATTGACAGTGTCCCTTTAAGAAATTCCTTATCTTTTTCATTGATCTCTTAGCATAATATATATCATAATAAGAACTTAATCAAACATGTCTTTCCTTGTATCGATTTGTTTCCTAAATTTTATGAAATAACGTAAGCAAATCATTTCTTAAAGACCTCAATGGGCGCAGAATCTTAATATGCCCCCCTCCCCCTTCAAAATTTATGGATCCGATGATTTTAGTGCAATACTACTGTCGTCGAGGCTTAAAATAAATTTCATAAGATGGTGGGTGGTGAACGGCACCCGTCAAATCATCGGTGATTTGCGGTATTGGACCVSSTGCCTTGTGCAAGGTAAACTCGTGCAACAGCCTCGACGTAATGACAAACAACTCTTGCTTTGCCARMGTTTCGCCGACGCACACACGWCGCCCCATKCCAAAGGGAAGAAAGCTTTTCGAASCGGCATTTTGGTCAATTTTTTCATTGTCGTTGATGAACCTCGATGGATTGAAATCATCTGGATCTATCCACTCTTGTTTATCTTGATGCATGGCCCATGCATTAAACATCAAAGATGTACCCTTTGGTATGTTGAAGCCTGCAAGAGTCGAATCTTTTGTTGCTTTGTGTGGGAGAAGAAGAGGTGCAATGGAAGCTTTTCGGAGAGTTTCATCAATAGTTGCTACCAGATAGGGAAGTTGTGTTCGGTGCTTCCAAAGAGGTAAAGCGTCTGGACCAAGAACA